TGACCCGACGAGCCGGGCCGGGTCTGGGTAAGTTCGGTCCGGCACGGAAAATCGCATTGTTTTTGAAGGGTTTATTGCATGAAATCCCCCTGTATTATATGAAATTTGTGCGTTTTTCCGGTATTTTAAGAATTGCGTTAAACCCCCTTGTATTTTATGTTTGCATTCATACTCGCCATTTCCGGTTAACGCCATTACATTGATGCTGACGGGGTTACTTTTTCATAGAATTTACCTTTATACACTTACTTTAACATTAAATTTACTATTTTACCCTTAATGTTAACATATTGAGTTAAAAGAAAAATCCCAATGGTGGGGTTTGAACCCACCACCTTTGGGTTGTACAAGGCAACTCTTACCAACTAGGGTACTTGTCATTAACTTATTGATGTGATTTTATCTATATATATATATATATATACGTGTAGCGGAAATATCATATAATTAAGTATATAGATTCTAAATTATAAATATCATTATAATTACTTATATAGATTCTAAATTATGAATAAAATAATAATTAATCAAGTATGAAGATTATAAATTATAAATAATATAATAATTAAGTATATGTATTATAAATTATAAATAATGTAGTAATTAAGTAAATATTTTCTAAGTTATAAGCAATTTAAAAATTAAATAAACAGATTACAAATCAAAACTAATATAATATTTATATAAATATATTCTAAATTATAAATAATATAATAACTCGTTATATAGATTCTATATTATAAATAATACAATGATAAAATAAATATATTTTAAATTATACATAATATGATGATTGAATAAATAGATTTTAAATTCTAAATACTAAAATAATTAAATAAATAAATTTTAGAATAAATAATATATTGATTTAGTAAATATTTTCTAAATTATAAATGATATATAATTAATAAAATAGATTATAAATTCGAAATAATATAATAGAAAATATTTTATTTACAAATTACTACTTTCATAATATATCATATACAAAAGTATCATTTTATATTATTATAAATAAATAAATTTAATTTAATTTAGTTTAATATTTATTATTTTTATTATATTAGTTCAATTTATAAAAATGTTATTTAAACTTTATATTATAATTTATTTCATATTTATATCTTTTTAATTTTTTATATGAAAATCGATTTATTTTTATATTAAATAGTAATATCTTTATATATTATTTTCAAATTTTACATTTAGTTTTATTCAACTTTATTTTATTTTAATTATATTTCTTATAATTACATTATTTTGTGATTATTTTATTTTATTTTATTAAGTTTTCCGTTGTCCGTGCTATTTAAATGAATTTGTGTTAAATAAGTACCATAGAATGGTGTTGGCGAAGTGGTTGGAAGCCTTTCCTATGAGTGTTTGGCCTAGGTTCGAAACCTATGAGTTGCAAAACATTAATTTTTGCCCAACAATTGGTAGAAAATAAAGGGGCAAAATAGTAATTTCAATTTTAAAATAAATAAATAAATAAAAAACTGAATAATTATCGCAGTACATGAATGTGTGTTGGACGCGCCGTCAAGTTGGACGGAGAGAGGGGAAGGGGCAAAATAGTAATTTTAATTTTAAAATAAAGAAATAAATGAAAAAACTGAATAATTATTGCCCTACATGAATGTAGGGGTGAGCATGGGTCAGTACGGTTCGGAGATTGATAAATATCCGGAACCGTACCAAAGTTCGGAGATCTCAAAATTTGATCTCCGAAACCGTACCAAAAAGTCGGTTCGGTTCGGTTCGGAGATCTATATTTTTCGGTTCGGTTCGGTTCGGTATTCGGGACTATTGGGACGGTACGGTTCGGTATGGTTTGGCTCGGTGTTGGGTTCTGTTAGGAACGTTAAACAACATGCACAGTATTGAACTTTATCGAAATAAATCCTAACGCAGTGGAATCTATAGTTAGGATATGGACGTTTACCTTTTAAAATTTTTGCCGACTCTGAGACGATGTAGATTACCATTGATGAAGTTCGTCTGAACACCACAACCTAATGGGCGGATAGGTTTGGCCTTTAGTTGATTCTAATCAACTTGTCAAACGTTCCTCGGTTGAACGGTGCACGGGTCTCGGTCGTCGGGTGCAGCAGGCAGCGTGCGCGGGCGCAGACAGCGAATGGGTGCACGGACGTCGGTCGCGGACAGCGGGTGTGCGCGTCGGGCG